GAATGTAAGTTTTTGGTTTTTGCAGTTTTTCCAAAGTACTTTTATAATAACACAAGGCACTTTTACAATAACAAAGCTTTGAAGATGAGGGTAACAGCTTGTGAACATCACAACTAAGCAGGTACATGGAGGTGATCAATCTCCGCTTCCCCCATCGTGGAACAGCTTCGTTGGCACAGGTATCCACGATGGGCCTGTGCCCCCTGCTGAAAAAGGAATCCAAAAAGGAACCTTGTGACTCCAAAGGTTACATACACACACACACACGAACGATCGCTCGCACGCACGCACGCACGCAGGCACGCACGCACGCACAAACAGCCGCATAGCGGCGCGCCAAAGTTCTTTGCGGTAGCTCTAAAGATGAAACAACGCAGTGGACAGCTTGGGCTTTACCTAGGTTGTACACGGACGAATATATTAGTACTTGATTGCCGTAGCCCTTTACCGAGGAAACAACGCAGTGGACAGCATTGGCCATACTTAGGTTCTAGAAGGTTGCTGACGAATGCAATAACACTTTGTTGAAGGAGCTTTTTAAACGCAGTAGACCGCATTGGCTTTACTTAGGCTTTAGAGTTTGCTTTAGAGTTAGACAGCTTTGGCATTACTTAGGTTCTAAAGGTTCCTCACAGATGCATTAGCCTTTTACTGCTGGAGGAAGCAACGCAGTAGACAGCGTTGGCATTACTTAGGTTTCAAAAGGTTGCTTTTACTCTGCATAGTATGAGCGCCGGTTTGGAATTGCTCGGTGGGGGTAATGGGTCGGGTAAACGAGCCTCAAAAGCGATCTGACAAGCCTGAGGAAAAACCCAACACACAAACAAAAGAAACTGGAGGAGATAAAGAAGGGGGGGTGAGATCGACGCTCGGTCGTAAAGCCGATTCCGGCGTCTTCTAGACGAAAACCCTTGCAACGAACGGAGATCGAGGCATGCAGTGAACTACTCAAGAGTGCAGAACGAGAAATCTGTCAGATTGCAGTCACCGTGTACTCGGCAGTATCTATTCAGCTGTTCCCGGGAGAGCACAAAAGTTCAGGAAACGGCTCGCGGCATGCAAGAATCGATCAGCCAAGAGCGTTAAGTTCAGGGACTGGCTCACGAACACATTCGCGCTTGACAATACATTAGACGACCTGGCAAGTCACCTGTGGAAATGGCCCTGCGCACAACGGAATGGTGAAAGGTCACCAACAATATTGTTTAAATCACCCGAAGCCGCAGGTACGTTCAGAGAGCGTCCTCTCCGAATATCACATCGATCAGCAGCGTCTTTGTTACTGCTGAAAGGACCACTTCCCCCCTGCTGGTAAAAACTCTTAGAAACAGAGGTGGAGACACACGCACATGAGAGCCGACTCACTTGATAGACAGCCCATGTATGAAAGCGCGCAAATTAGTTTGACACGATATCTGCAACTTGAGATTCACAAATGCTGCGCCTGCCACGAAGCCGAGGTCCACCCAGTGCTGCGCATGGCTACCTAGTGCCGCGCCTGGCACAAAATCTGCAGTTCTAGGTCCAGCTGCGCCAGCCATGAAATCTACGCCAAGTGCTGCGCTTGCCACGAAATCTACACTTCGATGTCCTCCATGTGCTGGGCTTTGCACATCTAGGTTCACACAACGCCATGCCTGTCACGAACGTGCGCTGGGATTGTTCTTTTGATACTGTTTTTTTCTCTCTTTTTGATCCCCCTGGATTTTTTGATGCTAGTTTTTTTGCTTTTCATCCCTCGGGCTGGACTTGTTTGGTGCATGAAGGTTCGCAGAAACGATGTTGAACTCCCCACAACCACTGACAAAACATAGGGGAGCCAAAGAAGCTCCACATGATGCCAAGCCACCTGGATTGCTATCCAGCCTGGATTGCCTGCTGTCGTGGATTGTTGCTGGAGAAAATCCCACGTAGGCAAAGTCCACGCTTACAATCACTATCAAATGCAGGGTTCATGCGTGGTTCAACCATGGTTCTGTGTTTTCAGCATACTCATTGGTGCAATCACTGTCCTGCAGCCTTGAAAAGCTTCGATGCATTGTAAACGCTCGAGGCTGAGTCTTGCAGATCATCTATCTGCCAAGGATCATGAGCTGTGTTGTGGACGTGAAATTCGGGCAGATTGGGGTGGGAGGAAACACATGAGAAGCAAGACTCACTAGACGCCAGTTGCCTTTCGTTCTACATAGCTGGATTTATTTGTGTCACAATGAAGGCCTACTGTAGCCAGCTGGAGCTGTAGTGACCACTTTTCATGGCCTTCTCCACGAGTTTACTCAGTATGAATTTTTAGAGTATTGGAACTGAAAGCTGCATGCGACTCCCATTTTAGGAGCCTAGTCTTCCAAAGCTCCGTGCAGATGCGAGCCTTCCTGAGTTTGTTCAGCTTGAAGGGCATTTTGTGAAAGCGACCTTTGTCACACAGTTACATGGCAGCTTGATGAGCACTTTGTGACAAACATGCTGTGGTACTTGGATCATGTCAGACGGTCACGATTATATGTCGCTGGCTCGAGCTGCCGTGCCTGGAGTCAGTTCGTGTGTGTGTGTGCCAAACCCTGTTTCCAAGGGTTTAATTTAATTTAAAGCAGGGGACAGAGCTCTCTGATGCTACTCTGTCCAACGAAGCTGTGCATC